ATTCCTGCACTTCTCTGGCCAGTAGAATAGTATTGACACACATGACATGATTATCTGCTGCATTGCACTATTTTAGAAATGATATTGATGAACTGCTTTTAAACTTATATTGCACATGTAAGTGAGTTTGGGGTGGAAGATCCTTGAGGACCCCTTGTCTTACTGAGATTCCTGGTTTAGAGATCTCACCCCACGTTTGGGGAATGCTTATTTCAGGTTCAGGTAGTATATGGACTGATGCCTCTGGCGGCAGGAGGCCAGAGCTTAGTTGAAGATATTACTGCTTATTTGCTAGCATGACTGGATTGGATGTTGGTTATGTTTTCTGCACCTTATTATTATGTTGATGTTGCTGAGACTATGTTGGGCTTTGTTGCCTTATTTGGGTGAGCATGGGGATTGTCCATGACACTTGTTGTTAGTACTTTTAGATTGGAGTTGTATAAACTGCTAGTTGGTCTGGCCTACTTGTGGTAGTCCCGTGATTTCTAGAGACACACTTTTATTATCTATGTTATGAGGTATTTCAGTTAGCTGTTTTATTGCAATTACATATAGACGATGTTTTATTAATTGATTAATAAGCAAGTTGGTAATGATAACGACATCATAATTGGAACGAAAAAGATATTCCGCATTTTTAATTAAGCGCAGCTTAATACGATAGTATGATAACATTACCGGATATATACGGGGTGTTACAGGTTACCTAAGTTTCGAGGACCAACGCTTCGACCCCGGGTTGAAGGACCAGAGGAAGCCCTTCTACCTCGAAGACCCCCCAGCGACCACGGACCGAAGAGCGAGATGAAGAGGCTCTCCTATGGCCACCACCTCGATAGCCACCTAGCAAAGCAGCCTGTGTTTCCTCCTCGGTTCAAGGCCTGCCATACAACCAGTACCTCGAACCAGGAGATAGGCTCTGAATGAACCTTTCCTCTTCTTCCGCAAATCGTCCTTCCTCTTCGGCGTCAATTTCATCACCACGACCGAAGGTGCGGGGGCAAGAGGGTCTTCCTCGAATGGTATAATTTCTCTCACCCATATCAGAAACTATTCAAAGTAGGGTGTGCAGGAAATGAACAAACAACAGATAAGCTTATGTAGACAATGCGAGACTAGTACAAAAGGTTTAATCAGACAAGAACAGTATGATGCGTCACACATATAGATTGACACACGTAAAGGAACAAGCAAGTAAATAGGTATGGAACAAAGGAAAGCATTGCAAAACCAAAAGCCATGGTCATATTAAAAAGTTAATGAAGAATACGTCAGAAAGGAAAGGCATGCCGAAGGAAAATACCTGTGGAGAAAGACGCTGAAGAAGCTGGAGATTGACGAACACAAGAGATGGTGAACGTTGAAGGGAAATGTTCCAGGTACTGCCAAGCGATTCGAGGTAGTAACAAAGGCAAACAGACAATTTGTAAGACAAATGGTCTGAATTGAAAACTGAGGATGATAATATGGGGGCTGAAATTGAAAGGTTAAACCCGCGAAAACCAAAGGGCAGGGGCATTGCGGTAATTGCAGGGTGGACAAGACGGTTGAGAGACGTTTTTGTAGGAGCATTAAATGCTAAGGCGGCAAGAAACGCACGAAGTCACACGTTGAGCCTATTGGAAGGGAGTACGTGGAAAAGTAATCATTAGAGAGAAGGGAGACCGTTTCTCACTTCAAAGCAATCATCAGGTAGCAGTTAAATACAACCATTCTCTACGCTGCCGAAATGAGTGACCGAGTCTCTAGTCTAAGAGGGTCGCATGCCCTAAAACCCGGCAACGTAACCCGGATGAAAACTTCTGTAGGACATCCCGGATGAAAATATGCTTGTTAAAACCAGGGAAAGCTTTCCCTCTCGAAGCCAAGTGGGGAAGTCGAAATAACAAACCAGTCAGGTGGCCAACATCCGAGCTAAAAGCACAACAGTCGGCTTGACTTGGACATCCCGGCAACCTGAAGACTCAGTCTACCGGGCTGGGGGGCAACTGTTATGGACCTGGGAAAGGCCCACGACAGCAAGAAGCCCAACCTACACAAGCCCAAAGGTAAGCTCTATAAATAAGAGCTAAAGACCACATGTATGGCTGATCTCTCTAACCCTATTTTCTTTCAAGCATGATATCGCACACACACACCCCTTCAGGCTAAGGCCATCATACTGTGTGTAGTGATTCGCTGTCCCCAAGATACCTAATCCATAGGTATCTAGAGAGAAAACTACAGATCCAACATCAAACAATCGACTTACGGTCGGTCACCTCTGCCCACGGCAGAACATATACTTAGTCACTTTTTGTTAAAAAAGGAAATCCAGGGAAGAATCCTAATAAGCTGGCATCTATATTTTCTCGATTGAAAAGAATAAAATTTATATCCATACTCTCGTAGGAAGCCTCTATCATGCTTACTTTTTAGTGTCTTTTGTATCAATAAATTGTTAAGTGTTTTTTTTTTATACTGCTTCTAATTCTAGAGAAAAAAGTTATACATGTACGTTGAATAATTATTCCTTAAAAGTTAAAACAAATTTATATGTAAAATTAATGTATCAATAAAGATATGCTTATTTTTAATTCAATTAAAATTATATTAAAATATTGATCTCCCTTGAAAATGATCGATGTATTGACTATGGAAATTTGCGACTAGCAAGAGTGGCAAAGCCTACAAATAAACAGTATCGTTCAAGGACCAAAATATAATGCATAAAAATAAATGAAAATTAATTAATTGATAATGTATTATTGAATGATTAACAACACAATTTTTAAATAATAAGATTCAATAGACGCGCACATACTTGAAAATTTCGAAAAATTTCTTTGCTTCGTGTTTGATCTCGACTCACTGCATGCAAGATAGAGGTCCAATTATTAAAGGCACAAAAGGCCCAAAAAATCCTTGTGACATAGCCCAAAAAGCAGACCATCTTGTCAAAGAGGTATGAATCTCGCTTAGGTACTTAGCCAATAGCCACCAAGTCAACATAACTTAACCTGAAAGGAATTATTAATGCCAATGTTAGCAACTCAGACAAGTTGGTCACCACTAGAAACAAGTGAAAGGATGTCAGCTCATACTTGCCACCATATTTATAGAACATACTCTTAACATAGGCTTGTCCACTAAGGAATAGTCTGAGAGATGTCACCTCTCTCCACCGATCAACATGAACACTGCTTCAAGAAGGACGATGATAAATACGACGCTCAATCACTATAAATACAGAGGTCATTGGACCAGGTATGATATTTTCCTTTGAATACTCGAACTTCCTTTGATATCTAACTGACTTGAGCGTCGTCAGAATGTCTTTGCAGGTATCCCCAGTCACTCCCAAACTACCCAGATATGCCAAAACGTACCCCCAATCGCTCTCAAACTACCCAGATACGCCAAAGCACTGCCCAACCATCTTACAATCAATAACATCATCTCGCCAGACATCCTAGTCCTATCATCTCGACATCAACACATGTATCACTTTTTCTTCATCAACATCCTTTACCTTCAACTGTGTGTGGTTAGACTCAACCCAATTAATGCTGGACTGATCACAATTCAAAGATGAATTCTCATGAATGAGTTAGTTTCCTCTAATTCTAAAAAATATTATTAACATTTAAAAAGTACTTAAATTATTTTTTCAATTTTTTTTAAATTCTTCTTATATGTAACTCACTTGAGTTATCTGGTGTACTTTCTAAGTCAACGTGAAACTATTATCATATTATAGTATAAATAAAGGGTTCGCTTTTTCTGCAGTTAATGCAGATAAATTATCTGCAGTAAGCCTAATACGACGTCGTTTTGAGACGAAAATCATGATATTTTTGTAATTTTAATTTATTTCAGGATTATTATAGTCTTTATAATTATAATTATTTTTCAATCCCAAAACGACGTCATTTTAGGAGTAAATGCAGAAATATTTTTCCCATAAATAAAAAAGAAAAATATGTTTCTCATGTTGTTATCTCATGCAACACACACAAAAGTAGATGGGACCCACTTTTCTCTCTCTCTCTTTCTTAATGGGTCTCACTCACTTTTTTATATGTTATATGAGATAATTTGTCTCATGCAACATGAGAGAAATTAAACCCAAATAAAAATTAAGGAAAGAATGTATTATATTGGATATAATTAATTTTGGCAAGCCAGCATTTAAGAACAAAGTTAAATAGCTAAAGTGATTTATCTACGTGGCTAGAACCAAATTCCAAGTTGGTTGGTGAGTTCCATTTAGAGATTTTTCAGAGGTTACATCAACGACTAATACGCAACGTATAGACTATAGTGTACAATATATTTATACGAATTTATTTCGACGGCAAAAATATAGTAGTAATTACTATTAGTTGTAAACATGGTTATTTTAAATGTTCACACAGTGTAAATAATTTTTCTTTTCAAGTTTTTGTAGTCCAAATTCACCCTTTTCCCATTGGTGTGGATATCACAGGACCAAAGAATATTGACCGCCATATCGTGTCCAATTAATCATCTGAAGGGTAGAGCCACGTATGATCTGACTCTGGTCTTTATCCGAGTTAAATTTTTATAAATTATATTTATTATATATAATTATATATTAATTATAATTTGACTCGGATTAAAATTATAATTTAGTCCGTGTTAATCTGATCTTATCTAAAATTTAAGATATTTTTTACGAAAAATTTGAGGAAGTTGTATTAAATTATGTATTCAATTTTTACTTGTATAAAAGATAAATATTTGTAATAAAATTAAAAAATATTTAATAAAATTATAAATCTTCTAAGTACTCAGATACTCTATATTTAATATAATTTTAAATATATTATAATATAAACTAACTAAAATTAAAAAAAATAAATATACGAATAATTTTTTGGTGGAGGCTAAAATTGGAGCCCGCTCCGGGCACTGTTATTTCATCTCGAGTAAAAGTGAGTAGTGACAAAGGATCATTCCCAGAACTTAGGGTTAACCGCTTATTGTACGTTCAAATCCCAAACTGCAAAGAACTAGCACGCTAAAGAAGAAAACTTCCTACCTGGGTCACTTCTTCAAACCTTGAAAATTCATCAAAAATATTGGAGGTCTTAACAAGGAAACGGTTTCAACGGGGCAAAAGGGTCTCCTCAAGACCCAAAATAAAAACAATAAATAAAAAACACTTTGAATTTAATTCCAAGTAGCTTAGACCAAAGACCAAGTCTTTTTTTCCACCAAAGTTCGCATTCCACCTTTTCTATATTTTTTGTGCTTTCTCAAATAGGAGTATTTCCCTCTAAAAGATACACAGAACCAACTTAGAAGCTTACCAAGAAACTTGCTCTTCTTAACAACCCTTTTATATTTTCACGCCTATTGTTCAAAAATCTTTGGCAAACCAGACAAAGCAGAAACCATGGAAGAGGTCTTGAATTCTATTAAGCATGCTTGTGAATTGGCTCGAAACCTTGAAACAGAACTAACCAACATGGCCAACCAGCCTAATATGCTATCCTTGTCCATTGATGAGGTAGTGAAGACATTTGGTGATGCCAAAGAGAGGCTATTGATGATGATGTCCCAACAAAACCTAACGATAACAGCTTCTTCTTCTTCTTCTTTTCCTCCAATGCTGCTTCATGAGCATGCTCAGATAGGTGCAAGTCCAACTTCAATGCAGGGATTGCTCGGCTCTGGAAGTTATGCACAGGCAATGGTGCAGCAACAACCGTTTGATGTGAGGACTTTGCTTGAAACTAAGATTATAAGTGGTGGTGATCTTCAGCAGTTAAGGTATAGGGGCACCCTGCAGATTGGTGAAATGGGTGGGAGGGATCTGGAAGGTTCAGCTGAGAGATCAAAGGGGTCTGAAGGAGAAATGCAAGGAATAGAAGCATCGCCCTCACGACAACGAAAAAGGTATATAAACTTAGTTATAATTAAGTCTAAGTTACGTTGTATATATTTACAAATTTTTTATCTACAAACTACATTATGTATTTTCGAGAATGGCATTCCTAACGGTCTATGCACATAAATACATGATTGAGTTTGTAAGAGAAAGTTTATAAATATAACATTTTCTATTTAATTTTGATTAATTGATTGATGATGGTGAAATATGTGTTTTATGTGACTCAAACTAGCTAAGCTAATAATGAGTAACTAGTTTATGCAAATGCAGAAGAGCTTGTCCTGTTTTTTAAGTCTCGATCCCCGGACAAGGGTCCAAAAGGATACGATTTTAATGGGCAATTAGGAGTGTTTGATTGTGTTCTTATTTTTATAGAAATGTTCGTGAGTTATGTTCCATAATAGAGAATATACCAAGGAAACTTGTTTGATCAAATTTGTTTAATTTGAGAATAAATTTTGAAAGCTTCATAGTACTCCGCCAATATTCATGGTGGCGGTGATAGTTGGAGCACTGTCAGTGCCGCCGGCATTTCCGGCAATGTTGGCAAGATCGCCAATGACGGTGCTAATGGTGGCGGAAATAGTGGCAAATCCGTCACCAGAGGTGATTTGAAATGAGAATAAAAAAATGCATGAATAATAATAAGAAAAAAAAATGCTTTTTTTTTTACAGGTTTTATTACAACCATTTTATTATCCTTAAATTAAAATTAAATCACAATGTTTATTTGTTATTTTGTCAACGTTGATTTGATTTTGATTAGAAAATAATTGTCAGAGGTGATAAGGAAAAGGATATTTTAAATAAAACCTTTCATTTTTTTATTTGAAAAATAAATTATGAAGAATAAGTTTTTAAAACAATCAGATAAATAAAAAAGTTTTGTTTTATATCTTAATTTTCGAAACAGAAAATTATTTTCAACAAGAGAAAGCAAAGAAAGCATAAGTCTACTCTACAACCCCCCACCCAAAAAAAAAAAAAAAAACCCAGTTAAAGCCACCAAAAAATTGGAGTTCGAATGAGCTTAATACAGCCTCAGAATGTACATATATATGTGATTGAATCTAGCTAGCTATATATGCATGGGTAGTTAATTTCTGGGTGTACTTGCCTTGCTCCTAGGGTAACTCGTTTATGGGTATAGCTTGTTGCCTTGCTTCTTCAGTAAGTAGTTTGTGCAAAGGCAGAAAGAGCAAGATTGTCCTGTTTTTGTCCTCTTCATCATCAAATGTAGATGTCTTACATTTCATTAAACCCCCACAATAATTGAAAGAAACAAAAGTAAAATGCTTTTTCGGTTTTGGAAGCTTTCGTTTATGATCCGTACACCATTATTGGGTATTTAGCCGAAAGGGGACTGACTCTAAAGTAGAATAGAATTTCCCAACTTTTTTTTTTTAAAGATTTTTTTCAAGGATTAATCGATTATATACTCCATAGACCCAATTTTTACATGTATATTTCCTATTAATTGCAATACTGGTTAATTAATTATATAATTTTGTGTATATATTATTTCTACAACCCCATAGATTAATACAATTCTCTTTTACGAAGTGGCACTTTCTGGGACATTAACCTAATGATTGTGTCTTCACATCAATTAGCAGCAGGAAGAATGATCCGGAGAAGAAAACAATGATGATTCCTGCACCACTGGTTGGAAACACAGAGATGCCACGGGAGGATGGCTTCACTTGGAGAAAATATGGCCAGAAAGAGATACTTGGCAAAAAATACCCAAGGTGTGGTTAATTAATTTATTAATTATTTAATGGGGCAGATTATATTTACAAACTTTTTTGTGTACAAACTCTTACACTATCCGGTCCTACATTAATCACACAGTGTACGACCGGTCCTACATTAGTTCTTTATTTAATTATACTTTATCAACTCAGTTCATCAAGTAGCTCCCAAGAATCAATTAAAACACCTAAAATGGACACATATATGTATTATCCCTTGAATGGTTAAAAGATTACGGGGGATCATATAATATGGTAGATGCATATAGAGTTTGACATATTCAATTCAAAGCATAGTAGAAGACATATGTCTTCCATCTACATCATCCAGAATACCTTTCAACTTTCTTCTAAGATTTCTTGCTCAAGTCTGAATATTCACTAGCACGAGCTAGTACCCAAGAAATTTACTCGTTTACACACGACAAGTAGTTGACTATGTTTATGTCTCTTCACATTATCTTCTTCTTTTTTTTTTTGGTAGACTCTTCACATTATCTCTACATGATTAGCAAATTGATAGCAAAAGACAAAATAGCCCCATATTTATTAATTACAACCAACAACTTTTTAAAAAAAGAAAAAGAAAAGAACAAACACATCACGTTTAATTAACTAATGATTATATTCACCTAAATTCCCTATCTTGGTTTGAAAAGTATGTTCCTTTTTTTTTTTCAGGGGCTACTTCAGATGCACACACCAGAAATTATATGGGTGCCCAGCAAAGAAACAAGTACAAAGACTTAATGACAATCCAAACATATTTGAAGTAACATACAGAGGAGAACATACCTGCTACATGTCCTCTACAGCACCATCATCATTTCCACAAACACAACTACTAATGGATATCTCAAACGACATGAATCAAACTACCATTTCCCCACGGTTGTCTACATCATCAACTTCGGTTTCCGCGTGGCTGTCGTCGGCGAACCTCAACCTCCAGGGTGGCGGAGACGGCGGCGGCAGCAGCAGTGGTGGTGGTGCTGGGCCCTCTACTTCAAAATATGTTGCTGATTATCCGGTAGTGGATATGGCTGATGCTATGTTCAACTCGGGTATTAGTAGCGGTCACAGTATGGAATCTCTCTTTCCTCCCGCTGAAGATAAATGGGAACAAGGTGAGAAGAAAAACTGAGAGGAATATAGTAATTAATTTTAACTTGAATTCACTTTCCAAGAATCTTATTCTCATATTGATTTATAGGTATATATACCATGATATTTATATGGAATTTTATTTTCTCATGTTGCATGAGAATTCAATTCTCATATTGTGACACAACTAATGGTGGTCCCACATATATTAAAAAATAAAAAATAAAAAAATTTTACACATAAATCGAAGAGTCACAACATGAGAATTGAATTCTCATGCAACATGACAAAATGTCTTCCCTATTTATATATACCTATATATAGACACTAGGCTGCTTCTGCAGGTTTAGATCCTGCGTTGTTTGTTATACATGTGCATTTAATTCTTGGCTAATACTAAAAAGAGTGAAAGTATGTTGGAATTTACAATTTTTTCCTCATGTAATATTTGCAATTTTGCAGAATAAATCTTATTAGGTATTGAAACAGTTGAATGCCAGATTATATTATTTAATTTTTATAATGCAATATGTGTGTGTGTGTGTGAGAGAGAGAGAGAGAGCACTTTACCTAACTTTGCTGCCTAAACAATAATTGAGAGATCCACCAATAATTTGAGTTCAACCTTGAAGAAAATATTATAACACTGTTTTTTTTTCTTTTTTGTTATTATTACTTGATTTCAACTTTCAACGAGAATGAATTTATATATTAAGCAATAAATTCTTTGATATATATTTGTAATAAATTTTTATTTTTGATCAATGATTAAATACGAAGTGAGCTTTGATTACTTAATAAGACTTCATTTAAAATTTATATTGCATGTAGTATATACATGAACAGAAGACAAACACGCTAGAAGAGAGGAATTCCGGGACAACAACCAACATGTCATATTTTGTGATTTTATTTGTCGAAATGCTATGCTTCGGAAATAAAAATACCGAAATATCATGAGATAGGAAATGCTCTTACAAAAACCAGGTCTTATTTTACATGTGTCGCATAGTTCAAGATCCGTTATCAGAAGCAACAGGTCTAGGACCATTGCGAGTTCCAACTAGTCAGAATCTATTGCTTCAGGTTTCACCACATTGTGCTACATGGCATGATTTTATTGGTAGTAGTGGAGAACACAAGAATTGGAGGGCACTTCATGTTAATGAGAAAAGTTCAAAAATCATTTTATGATTTTGCTTTGAATCACTTAGTCTTTTATGTTTTTTTTTATTCACTTATCTCATATAGTTTTTTCAATCCAAATCCATCATTAACATTGATAGAAAATTAACTAATTTTTCTATTTTACCATTCTTAGAAGAAGAAATAAACTGATGAAAATAAAATAGAAAAAAATAAGACCAAATGTGTTAAAAATATACAACATTTGCAGAATAAATTAAAAGTAAAAAAATATAAATAGAAGTAGAAGAAAATCAAAATATGTCTAAATCAAAAAGAAGAAAATAAACTAAGAACAAAAACAAAAAAATAAGGTCAAATATGTTGAAAGCTTACAACAATGACAAAAAAGACTAAAAGTAAAAATGAAAATGAAATCTTTTTTAATTAAAAAGAATAAAATAGACCAAAAAAATAAGAAAAAGAAATCAGTGTTGCATATTTGTTCCTTTTTTTTCTTCTATTTTTCTTTTATTTTTTTATCTTCAATCTATTTTTTTTTATTTGGATATATTTAGTTTTTTTTTCGACTATTTTTTTTTTACTTTTAATCTTTGATGTCACGATTAAAAGAAAAAAAAAAAGACAAAATAAATAAGAGAAATGAAATTAGTTTTGTAAGTTTCTGACATATATATATTTTGTCTTCTATTTTGTTTCAAATTTAGACATATTTGATCTTTTTTCATATACATTTTTTTTACTTTTAATCTTTTTTGCAAATGTTATAAGTTTCTAATATATTTGGCCTTATTATTTTTTCTTTTTTATCTTCATTTTTTTTCCAAGAATGATAAAATAAGACAAATCAATTAAGTTTCTAATGGTATTAACGGATAGATTTGGATGAAAAAATCATAGAGAATAACTGATTAAAAAAGAGAGGAGTGCAAGTAATTTAAAGTAAAATTATAGGTTTTTTTTTTTAACTTTTCCCTTAATTAATTAGCCCCAATTAATTATGTGTTTGGGTAAAGCTAGATCATTTATTACATGGGATTTCTCAAGAATCACCAATTGCCACTTTCTTCAAATAATATTAAAATATTAAAAGAAAAAATTAATTACTCAAATCTAATTAATTGTTTTATAGTATTTTTTTTTCTATTGCACTTATATACTATAGCACCGACACTTCAAAAATCTTAACGTGTCGTGTCTGACACTCACCGACACTCTGACATTCCCCGACACTCCAATGCTCGTTGCAAAGACTCAAAAAAGGTTCAAAGATTACGTTGCGTTGTATTTTGAGTTCCTACTATTAGATTCGTTAGATTATGATTACGATTTTATTAAGTTTAATATAAACATTTAGGATATATTATGTTTCTTTGCAAAATTGATAGGTATTATAAGTTTAGCTTTATTTTTTTGTTAAATTATTGAATACTAAATATAATATACACTACATAAATTAAAAATATTATATAATATTAAAACATGTCCTAATATGTCAAAATTTAATATTTTTAAAAATTAACGAGTCGGAGTATCGTGCCGTATCGTATCTCGTATCTCGTGTTGATGTTGGAGCAAGATAGCTTATATATATGGAGGAAATTCAGATAGGTAAATAACAGTAAATGTGTCGAATAAAGATTGGCAGAAAGGCATGGCTGTTGTTCGTGAATAGCTAGCCATGTCGGCAATTATCTGCCAAGGACAAACACCTTATAAGAAGGGCATTTCTTGGAATTATAACATAAAACCAAGGAAACTTTGGTTCCTTCCTTTCTCCTCAAAACCCTTCTCGATAACTCATAATTTCTAATTATTTATCTAATAATGAAAAATATTTTGAAAAAAGAAAATGTGTTGCTACTATTTTCCATCTTCTAGTAGCTTGTTTGGATTTTCTTCTCGCTTCTATCCTTTTGCACTTTGTTAGCTGCTTGCTTATCCCGTTTCCTCCTAAGTTTGGGTCCACACAACTGTTTTGTCCAACTTTTAGAGATGAAGATAAAACTTGAGCGCAGCATCTTCTATAGAAAAAAGTCTTGAACACAAATTTTCACATCATTGTTAATTATTGATTAAGAACATGTACCATGCTACTTTTTGAATAGTTAATAATCTCTTGATAATCATTTGATATACATTGTTAATTAATAAGTAAGTTACATTTCAACTTATATAAAAATGCTGTGAAAATTTAGAGTATAAATGTAAAGCAACAATTTCACCTAAAATCTTAAGCTATTAAGTAAAAGTCTTTTTAATAGTTTTTATATTATTCTAACACATTATCTCAAGCAAGAGTCTATTGAATTTTAAGAACGTAGAATGCATAAGATTTGTATAGAAGTGTAAATGGATCAGACGGTCTATGAGGGGCTGATCCAGCCTACATCAAGCTAAACTCGACCTATTATATATAATAAAATAAAGGGGTTTATATCTATCATTTGACATGACCACAAAAAATTTCCTACACACACAATATTTTGTGGGACGTCGACCCGCATGTTTTGAAAAAAAAAAACTACGATACGCAAAACAAATCTCTATAACATAACACAATCATTTTTCCTACAACATAATTCTTATAAAACCCTAAAATAAAATAAGCTCAAACTTTTTAAAAAGCCTATTTAGAAAGTAGACCATAGACTTTCTTTTATATACTCAGCTTATAAGCCTATAAATTAACCTATATCATATTATTTATTTTAAATAAAATTATTATTTAAATAATTTTGAATAATAAAATAATATTATTTCAATTACTATTTTAATTCTTGAATTTCTAATATGCTTAAACAGCCTAACAAGTCTATACCTGACATTTTTATTTTAAAATATAGATAAGATTAAATTTATAATTTAGCCTATACCAGGCGAATAAACCATGTCAGTCTTAAAATATTTTACACAAACCCAATCAATTTAAACCAAAGTATGTCCCAACTCGCTCATTTATAATATTTGATTATTTATTAATAGAATAGAAGCAATGAGGAGACTCTAATATCATGTAAAGAAACATAATTATCATTATTTATATGTATAATTTTTTTTTTTTTGGTTAATCCAGTAAGTCTTATAAGTAACGATCGGTTGCGTCTGGATGCAAACATTTATCGATAGAATTTGACTTTTTTAATAGTCACCAAAATTAAACTTGAATTAATTTTTCATATAATTAAGAGAGACAAAACTAGAAAGCCATTGCCCGCACATTTGTTTGTTTTAGAATATCAATTATATGCATAAAATGCAAATGTTAAATCTAGTTATTCTTTCTATTTAATATACTTTTTCAATAGCACGGTAGTTAATAGTTTATTAGAAATTTATTTATTGCATTTCGTGCGGTTCTGTGATTATATGCTTAATTAGTTAATTGATTATATACATAATAAGGTTTTTTTATATGTAGTTTAATGCAAATGCTTTGTCTAAATAATTATCTTTTATTTTTAAAAAATTATTTAATTTTTAATTTTTTTAAACATTCAAAATGCATTAAATTTCTATAAATAAAAAGTATATACTTCTAAATAGGAAAACAAAAATGTTTCTAGTAAAATATCCTTTAAGTATTACTCTTTTACTTATTTATAAATTTCATAATCTTTTAATCTTAATCCAGCAAGTTATAAAGAAAAGAATATTTTTTACGTTTTATAATTTTATATTATTTTTATGTCTTCCTTTTATAATATATTCTTACTTTATTTGTACTAATAGTATTATCATAAATGCGCAAAAAATTTAATAAATAAATTCAACGTAATATAGTAAATAGAGATTTTACTTATTATATTATGAGGTGAATTTCTATATAAATTTTAATTTTTTTAATAAATTCTGAATTATTTTATTGAATAAATAATGAGCCATCCATATAACACTAATTAAAGGAAGTGAGATTTGAGAAATAGAAATTAATTGAACTAATAATTATAAAAGTTTGAATTTTCTGAACCATGGGAGTTTAAAAAAGGCTGTTCAAATACTATTGCATGTAACTTTTTTTTTTTTGATAAACCTATTGCATGAAACTATGAAAGAGTTAAATGGATGGTTAAAGAAATAATTTTAACTGTTTGAAACATACCTTTAATATCCATATGAAATATTACATTTAATAATACTATTAATTCAAATTAATTGAAAAAATATTCTCAATGAAAAAGTAATCAATAACACCCATCAACTATTAATAATGGGAAAGGATATTCTGACAACCAAGTTGTGTTATTACTAAGGTGACTACCAATCAATCTTACCGTTAGATCGATTATGTTGATCCAACGGTTATATTTATTTCCATCTTTGTATGGTCATGATTCTCCAAATTTAATACTTTATATTTATTTTCACCTTTGTATGGTTATGATTTCTCATATTAATGCTTTCACTTTAAATATGAGGAATCATAACCATACAAAGATGAAAATAAATATAACTGTTGGATCAACATAATCGATCTAACGGTGAGATTGATTGGTAGTCACTTGGTAGTAACACAACTTGGTTGTCACAATATCCTTTCCCATTAATAATACGCTTAAATTGTTTTCCGTAATTTTGTTTCATAACATTATCACAATATTGTCAAGATCGATCGAGTCAACAAGATATTTATAAAATATAAAAGTAAAGAGTAAAAAAATATTTTCATTACTTGCAAAAAAAAAAAATATTTTCAAAATTATGAAGAAATTTTCTTAACATGTCAAAATTATAATGGCCTTAAATGTCTTTTCCTTTTCATATGATGCAATTAAGAAATTTATTTAAATAGTTTCTCAGTCAAATAAAATAAAATTGAATGATATAATTATTAATTTTAAATATATGTTTTAATAGTTTTAAAGAAATATGCTTGTAAAGGAACAAATCAAAAAAATTTAAAAAATATTTCCAATCTTTCCTTTTCTCTATTAAATAAAAAATGAAATATATTTCTCGAAAAAATGAGCTATATAATTTTTTGAAAATGACATCTTTTGTTCATTTGCTAGGACACGTGTACTTATTATATATCTTCCACTCATCGATTAGACAACTACCCTCTTCAATACGGATATATCGTTGTACACTTGTACACAATTTTTCGGCTAGACACTCGTACTCCCCTCGAACACTCGTTTCCATCAAATTTGAAGGACGTTGTTGGCTCTATATACTCATGCATGATTTCAAAGGATATAAAATAAAAGGCAAGCTATGCACACACAACAGACAATACCCATAAAAAGCTGGCTTAGTCTGTTATTTATTCACAATTTTTTTCAAAGCACGCACAGAAAGTGGCGATCCACAAAATTAACGAAGGGTGGACACTCAATAAGTTCAAGTACATATAGATCTAGGTTTGATCTGAAACGTGATTTGCGAGCAATGGCCGGCTAACTGGATCTGGTTTAGATTTAGATCTAGATTAGGTTTGAATAATGAAGGTGGAGGAGAAAAAAAAAACTCACGAAAAAATAAAATAGAAAGAGAAAAATTAAAGGGGTATAATATTATAACAACCAACTAGGCTTACTATCAATCAATTTCGCCGTTAGATCGATTATGTTGATCCAACAGTTATATTTATTTCCATCTTTGTATGGTTATGATCCCCATATTTAATATAAAAAAAATTAAATATGAGAAATCATAACCATACAAAGGTAAAAATAAAAATAAAGTATTAAATATGAGGAATCATAACCATACAAAGATGAAAATAAATATAACCGTTGGATCAACATAATCGATCTAACAGTAAAATTAATTGGTAGTAACATTGATAGTAACCCTAATTAGTTGTTATAATATCCTACCCTGAAAATAAATTGAAAAAACTTAAATTTTAAGAGAAGAATATTTTTATATTTTCACATCATATTTTAAGAGCCGCGACTTGTCTCCTTATCTTGTACCTCCATTCGCCTCTGGGTACAGACATAAATCTCATCAGATTGATTAATTAATTAATTTACGCAACTTAGAAAGGTCAAAGTGACAATCTTTCATAGAAGAGGAAACTGAGAAAAACAAAAACCGAATATCTAAATTTATAGGATTTGTATCCTTTCATTTTTCATAAAAACATGAAAGTGTGTTTTTTGTTAATGAAGGACGAACCCTTGCACGGGTAACTTTAGTCCCTACACACACAAACTGTGTTTTTTTTCTCTCTCTCTCAAAACACAATACAATCATGTTATTAAGAAAAATGAGATGATCAAAATCCTAATCTAAACAATTAATCTCAGGAATCTAATCAAAGCATGAAAGCAACTGATTCTCATCAAAGAGGAAGTCAGTGCCAAAATGGACAGACTCCACCCCGAAATCTTTGTCCAAATGTTGAGAAACTGCACATGAATCTGCATATTCCATTTTTAAAGGCATAATGACAGGCTTGGAGGGTTCAAAATCCTCCAAATCCGACAACAGGCTAGGATCCAACTTGCGATCCGTAACATCACTCGAATTGTGTTTTTTGGGATATTTTTGTTTTATAGTCAGGCTTGGTGAGCTAATATGGTGATCCTGTTCATTTGGTATCTTTGAGTCAGGATCAGAATTCAGAAGAGAGGATTCCCAAGTACTAGAATCTGTGACCAAATGTGTGAATGCCAATGTACATAGTTTGGTACATATCAGGATTCTGTTGTGTCAGCTGCACCTGTTTGGTTTCTTTGCAACCTTGATCATATTTAATGTGACTGCACCTGAAGTAACTCCTGCAAATTATTAATAACATTGATCTTTTAAAACAAAAATAAAAAAAAGTTACAGAACTCACACTCTCATAGTAACCACGGTTAGTTTTTCTTCATTCTCGGTAACCAACCCAAAAATGGGTCAAATATGGTCTCCTATCTTCAGCTAGCAACCTGTCATCATCCATATCTCACTAATTCAGCAACGTTCAAAAACAATAGTTCATGTTTAGTGCACACCGTATCTGACTCTGTGATGGTATATAAGAGTCTATATATATGTTGTGTGCTATTAATTCAATTCATTTTGTATTTGTCAATTTAAGTTAATGCATGCAGTTAATGTACATTTGTTGCATTAACATCGCAATTACTCTACATTTATTATTATAATTTTGAATTAAATGTTGAATTATGATTAAATGCTATTTGAAATTAAATGTATAGTGGTATGGTTAAATGCAATAATTTATGGTTGGAAATTAATTATGTCTTTGATTTAATTAATTAAAGATTAGCTACAACGTCTTTAATTATTGAACTTAGGGAAAAATTCACCAATGCCCCTATGGTTTACTCCAAAATCACTTATGCCCCTGTGATTTTTTTTTTTTATCACATATACCCTTATGGTTTGCAAAATGGTATGTTTTCTATCAGATATGCCCCTGTGATTTTTTATTTTTTACAAAGCACGGGGACATATGTGATAAAAAAAAAAAAAACCACAAGGACATAAATAATTCGGAAGTAAACCACAGGGGCACTGGTGAACTTTTCCCTTTAAATTATATATTAAGTCCTCTATATCATGATAAGTAGATGACATGAATTGTAATTAGTTATATGTAATATAATAAATTTTATGCCACAAGAGGTTTTGTTATATTTTTTTGTGATTGAAAATTAGGATAAAATTTTAAGTTATGCTTTTAATTTACCCACATACAATTTGATAGTTTTATCATAAAATTATACATGGATCTAATATAATTAGAGCTTTAGCCCACATGCAAATTATAGATTCATAAATTTTTAGCATGCTTTGCATTGGTAAAACATGATTTATTGGTCTTCTTCTTTTTTAAACAATAAGCATGTATGTTTAATTTTTGCAATAATACAACTTGTGAATTCCATTGATGTTCTAGAATTAAAAGGGGACAATTACCCAATTTTGAAAGAGTTCTTTTGCACTTAAGGTATATGGAAATCAATTATGCAATTAGAAAACCTAAACCATCAGTGATTACTAAAAACTGTGAGCCACATGAAGTAGATTTATATGAGAAATGAGAGAGATCTAATCTCCTGTGTGTGATGTTAATTAAGACTAAATTATCAATTGGTAATAGAGATCCAATGGTAAAATATAATGAAGTCAAAGTACTTCTGAATTCCATTGATGAACTATTTGAGACTTCAAGGAAAGCATTGAGAAGTACCCTAATAACGAACTTTTCTTCCATGAAACCTACATCTCTGATAGGTGTGCACGATCACATCATACAAATGAGAAATATTGAGGCTCTGCTAAAAATTTTTGAGGTGAATATGTTTGACTCTTTTTTTATTCATTTTATTGTGAATACTCTCTCAACGTAGTGTAGTCCCTTCAAAATCTCTTATAATACACATAAGGACAAATGGTCTATTAATAAACTCACGACCATATATGTTCAAGAAGATGGAAGGTTGCAAATGGAACAAGGAGACAATTCCCTGCTAATAACTAACAATGAAGGTAATAAGAAAGGCAAGAAGAAATAAAGTGGTAAAATACCACCCAAACTGGAATTAAGAAAGAATCCAGGTGTTTCTTTTATAAAAAGTGTGAAATCAAGGTAATGATGTGAATTCTATGCACTCAAGGTTCCTCTTTGATGGTGTCACGTCAACATAGTTTTGATGATAAAAAAAGATTGAAGGTGTTTCAAGAACTACAACAACAACATTCAAAAAGAATCTAAGTGCATGTCAAAGCAATGCAATTTTAAGTGCTCAAGTACCAAAATCATGAATCAAGCCTCAAAGCATGGAGCTAAGCCCAATAATATATTAGAATTTACTTTTAGAACTTAGAACATGTAAGTAAGGGTGTATAGTAGATAAAATTGTGTAAGCTAAAGTCATTCTCTTCATTACATAATCAAAAGTGGTTGAAAACCTTGGTTTGATAGGTCAAAAATGCACTAGAAGGTTTTTAACATGGTTTGACCACAAAAACACATCTACTAGTCCAATTATATGTGTTCACACGGTCAGAATCATCTTTAGACAAAAAGAAATGGATATTAGGAACTATATAAAGAAAAAAGTATTTTTTCATGGTTTGATCCCTCAAAATTGGACGGGGACGATTTTCAAAAGTTTTGAACCCTCAAACACCTTCCCTTAGTCCAATTACATATGTCTACAATGTTAAAAATGATTTGGAATTGAAAGAGGCTGAATCCTGCATTTTTGTGTGTCATCAATTCGGGTTTACTCGAGTAAGTCAAGACATTCACCTAGTAAATAATTTATTCGGGTAAAACAGTACAATTACTAGAGTAAGCTTCAAAGTTTACTTGAGAAAGTACTTTTAAGAAAGGTTACCAACGACTGTATTTTATATGAAAACTAAAAATACTCATCATAATAGTTCTATTAACTCTAAAACTTAATTATAACATTTATTGAACCATTATTACTTCTCCTAACATATTTTTGCTCATTGATTACATCCTTGATTATCACATACTTAAGCTCATTCTTATTCTTTAAGTTATAAAGCTACTAGACTTCAATTTGTATAATTTTCTCTTTAAGAGTGCTTAGCTTGCCTAAAACACATTTCTTTCTTAAGTGATTGTTGGTTAAGGGTAGTGAATTAGTATTGGAAAGGTAGCCCATTGCCAAAGAAATTAGGTGGAAGTGTAAGATTTCCAAAAACCATAATATTGATGTGATTGTAGTGGTTTATTCAAGCACCCCTAAAGCTTGATCAATAGTGGAATAACCGTTGTGGTGATTCAAGGCTGGAAGGCTGGATGTAGGTCACAGTGGTTGTGAAAGAATAGGATAAATTGAGTTTTCACTTTCTATAACTTTATTTCCTTTACTTAAGCATTCTAAGTATAATTGAGTATATTTAACTTCAAATTTGTTGATCATAATTTCTTTGTCTCAATATTATTCATTACCTTTTGCTTATTCTAAATCAAAGTATTTCAAGAAATTGTTTTCAAAAAGAAAGTGAGGTATTTTGCAAAAAGTTTTTAAAACTCAATTCACCTCTCCCCCATTTGAGTTTTGAGGCCACTTTTCCAACGAAAAGAAAGAGCACATTAGGAAAGATTGTTATGAATTCCAGCAATGGTTTAAAACGCAATGTATGGCCAACTCTTTAATTTGTTATCAATCTAATACGATTAATGTTACTCATAACATATATGGTGGATGGATTTTGATTCTACAGTCGTTTTTAATACTTTGCAAAGTATGAAAAACTTATGGAAGCCAATGCGAAGTGAACTTTATTCAAGCAGAAAGATGAGTTCACTTGTGAAGGCCATTGAGACTTGTAACTTAGTTTTAAGTAGCGGTTTTATTTTAAATTTGGAAAAGACTTTTTATGTTCCTATCTTTTCTAAGAACTTAATTTTAGTTTTAATACTTATACCATTTGGTTATTCCTTTTCATTTTATGAGACATCCTTCAGTTTGTTTTATAAATTTAAGGCTGTTGCAAATGATATATTGTCTTACGGTCTTTCTATATTGATTTGTGAAATGAAACTAGTTATGACACTATGCATGTTACATGAAACAATGTGTTATGAATGAAGATTCCTCTATGTTATGGCATCGAAGATTAGGATATATCTTCATGCAGAGAATTAAGAGATTAATAGATAATGGAATACTTAGTACTTTAGATTTTACTAATTTTGAGACTTGTGTGAATTGCATTATAGGAAAGCAAACAAACAAGTCAAAGAGAGGTGCCAAAAGGAGTATCAAACTATTAGAAATCATACACACAGATACTTGTTGTCCAATCAAGGATGTATATGGTCAACAATACTTCATCTCTTTTATATATGATTATTCACGACACATGTATCTCTACATGCTTAATAATAAGTATGAAGCGTTAGATGCCTTTAATGTATTTAAATTAGAAGTAGAGAAACAATGTGATAAGAAAATTAAGATCGTGAGATCAAATAGAAGTGGAGAATATTATGGTAGTTAGTTGGCCAATACACCATGCTTGTTTCTCCAGATTAGAGCGATAGAGCAGAAAAAAGAAACCGAACACTATTAGATATGGTGCGAAGTATGCTTTGTATCTCTAAGCAATGTAAGTCCTTATGGGTTGAAGCGTTGAAAACGGTAGTGTATATATTAAATCGAGTTCCAACTAAGGCTATTCCAAATATCCATTTAAGTTATTTAAAGGTTGGAAACTGAGTTTGCGACATACACGAATTTGGGGATGTCCGTTTGATATGCTAGAAGGTCTATGGTATACAGTATTTATAGTCCATCTTACATCACTGGGATTCTGGAATTAAGAAATGCCAAATTTCTTGAAATTGACTTGATTAGTGGGAACGATCAATTTGTAGACTTTGTTTCTGAGAAAGATCATTTCAATGCTTAACCATCCACTTCAAGTATGAGATTGGTTGTTGTTAACACTCATTCAATTCAATCAAATGTTATACAACTAGTCATTGAGAATCCACAACCATATGTCATCGATATTGGTCTAGTGGATCAAGTTGCTGATGAGAAACAAGAAATTATCGATCAACAATTTGAACAACAAAATCCTCAAGAAGATAATGCAACATTAAACAGGTCTTCTAAAATGAGGAAGACACGATACTTAGTGATTACATTGTGTATCTACAAGAATTTGACTATAATGTTGGAGCCAAAAATGATCATGAAACATTTTCACAAGTCATAAGTTCTAAGGAATTAAACTTATGGTATGATGCTATGAAAGATGAGACCGACTCTGTGACATCTAATAGAATCTGAGATTGCATTTGTTGCCTGATGGTGCAAAAGTCATTCGATATAAATGGGTCTTCAAAACTAAGAAAGACTCATTAGGCTACATTGAGAGATATAAAGCAAGACTCATATTCAAATGATTCAATCAAAAAGAAGGAATTGATTACAAGGAGATATTTTCTCCTGTATCAAAGAAAGATTCTCTTTGTATCATCCTAGCATCAGTTGCATATTTTGACTTAGATTTGTAACAAATGGATGTGAAAATGACTTTTCTCAATAGATATCTAGAGGAAGAGATTTACATGAAACAAATAGAAGGATTCTCCTCTAATGATGGTGAGGAATTGACGTGCAAGCTTAAGAAATCTATATATAGATTGAAACAAGCCTTCTTTCAATGGTATTTAAAATTTCATGATGTTATCTCTTCTTTTGGTTTCTTTGAGAACATCATGGGTCAATGTATATACCAGAAGGTCAGTGGCAACAAATTTTTATATGCGGATGACATTTTACTTGAAGTCAATGACAAGGGTTTGTTATATGAGGTGAAATAATTCCTCTCTGAAAAATTTGACACGAAGGATATGGGTGATGCCTTATGTTTAGAGCCGGCAAAACGGGCTCAGCTCGGCGGGCCGACCCTCCCAGCTCATTTTTTGGCTGGTTGATGGCAGGGAAGAGCGGGGCGGGTCAATGTAAAACATGTTCGTGCCGGTGGGCCGAATATTTTAGCCCATTTTCAAAAGAGGGGCGGGGTGGCTGGCTCGTTATTTGACGAGTTGATGGTGGTCTACTTATGTTATTAGCATCGAGATACATAGAGACAGATTTCTAGGTATTCTAGGTTTGTCTCAAGAAACCTATATCAGCAAAGTTATGGAGAAATTTTGCAAGAAAGATTGTTTACCAAGTGTAGCTCCCAATGTGAAGGGTGATAGGCTTGATTTGAATCCGTGCCCAAGAAAATGATCTTAAGCGGGAATAACTGATTAATATTCCTTATGCTTTAGCTATTGGAGGCCTTATGTATACTTAGGTTTGTAGAAGTTTGTTGTTGGAGTGTTAAGGAGATATTGAAGTAATCTGAGTTTAGACCACTAGAAAGCTGCAAAGAAAGTGTTAAGAATCCTTTAAGGGACTAAAGACTACATGCTTATGTACAAATGAACTGATAATTTGGAAGTGACAGGCTACTCTGATTCAAACTACGCTAACTGCATTGATTCACAAAAGTCAACTTTAGGATATGTTTTTATGCTAGCTAGTGAAGATGTGTCATAAAGAAGTGTGAAGCAGACCTTGACTACTACTTCCATGATGAAGGCTGAGTTTGTGTCTTGTTTTGAGGCTACTTCACAAGATATATGAATGAGGAGTTTCATTTCTGGGTTTAGAGTTGTGGTTTCTATTTCTAGGCCATTGAGGATATATTGTGACAATTCAGTTGCTGTTTTAATTATGGCTAAGAACAACAAAAGTAGTAGTTGAAGCAAGCATATCGACACTAAATATCTAGTCGTAAAAGAGTGCGTTAAGGATAAATCAATGGTGCACATAAGCACTAAATTGATGATTGGAGATCCTTTAACTAAAGGCATGCCAATATTGAAATTTAAGGATCATGTAGAAATAGGACTTGGTTCCCATATGTAATTTTAATTGTAAGAATGATATTATGTTTAATGAAACTCTATTTGTGATGTTTTCTTATTCAATTTATATGCATATTGATTTATTTCGAGAAATATCAATAAAGTTTGGACTTAGAATAAAAATTGGATTTGTTCATTAAGATACATTATGAGCTTGATGAATAGAATATATTGTGATACATGGAAGATAATACTCTCACTGTTTAGAGGACTTCCATGATTCATGTACTTTATTTCTTATTATAATATATGATGAGATATATGGACCAAGTAAGATAATATTAGTTTTTCCTTCATTCTCGATAACCAAGAGAAGAATGGGGCAAATGTGGTCAACTATCTTCAACAACTGATATCATATATCGATGTCCCACTAATTCAGGAATGTTCAAAACCAGTAATAAAAACAAAACCACTGAACATTGAGGATCAAATTCGTGACCACTAAGTCACTCCTACTCTGATACTATCTAAAGAATCATTTAACCTAAATCTTTAAGACTTTGGGTGAGACTATATTAATAATATTATATTTCTCTAACAACTTTTGATATGAGTTATAGACTCTTCACTTTTAGCCTTATTAAAGTCATTTTTTTAAAAATGAAATTTCTATGTACAGATCACTCTGTCCGTCGATCAGCATTTTTTTCTTCGGATATAGGGAAATAACCGGAAAGAGAAAAATAGTTACTTGTAATGCAACTATTATGTACAAATCATGTATAGGTATATACCATCTCAGAATATCTTTCTAATGAAAAATAAAATTTAAAGAAAATATAAATAAAAATAAAAATAATGATTACCTAGGGAATTTTGAATTCTGGATTTCCTTTTGTCCGTACTTCCTCCATGCATGATTATCATCTGTGGTGCAGGAAAATGTGATCCATGTCTCTGCACCCTTCCTGCGCAACAACGATTCAATATGTCCCATGCATGTCATCATTTCATGTACAATACAACATACAATAACATTCTAAATATGTCAAATATTTCACAGCAAGCCTTGTGAATAAAAGCAAAAAAACAAAGGAACCCACAATTGAATCTGAACACTTGAAAATCTCTTAAACTAATCAAAGTCAACATCTACTATTAACTCCATTAATTCTTGATACATATATATATATATATATATATATATATATATATATATATATGTCATAAAGTCCAACTTAATCTCAAAGCTTCAACTTGTTCCATAAAAAGGGGTCTTTCAGAGTTTCACTTCAACCATTATAACAAAGCTACTCTAAATATGTCCGTACTTCCGTACATATCCCAATTCATCAAATCATCCCACTAACCCGAATCGCCGACAAAACAAGACTTTTTTTGGCTGAGGAAGTGAACTAAAAAATATGTCACTGAAGCAAAACTGTAGATTCATGATCATAAAGAGAATCGATAAAAGATAACCTTCTTTGGTAGCAACCTCTCCCACCCTTTCTGGCCGGCGAGGATCTCTTCCTACTCTCACCGGATGTTAACGGAGACCCATTTTCGCCGGAATTCAGCAGATTCTGATGAGCTACCTCGCCGCCGCCACCGGGTTATGAGGAAGAAGTTATGATGGAAAAAGCCTCTGTAATCTTTTCCCCTTGGCTGACACACTTTCAGGGCAAATGATATTCATTTTCTCAGAATCTGTTTGACTTTTATTGCCCTTTCCCCTTTGCTTCAGATTTGTTGCCAAGGAAAAAGTAGCAAGTGGGTGAAATGTGAGAATAGGAGCTATTGATGTGAGATGTGAAACCTGAGAATAATCTATATAAAGAAAAAAGTTTCTAACTACAAAAGGGAGGGTTAATGTGTATTATAAAAAATATGTGGAATTTATATTTTATTTTTTATATATTTTTTCATTTGATTTCATATAAAATTTTTATATTTATATATATATATATGTAGGAGAAAAAATTATTATGTCTTAGTAGAATAAGAGATAAGCTTTATATTATTAAATGTGAGATATTAGTTTAATGAGTTATTATTAGTTATATTTTTTATTTTGTCATTAATACGATACATATTTAACATTATAAAATGAGACTTTTATATTTAAAAAATATATATAAAATATTCTAAAATATTTTTATATAAATTGAAAGATAATGATACTTACATCTCACTTTTATTACGTTAAAACATGTAAAAAAAGTAGTGTGCAAAAAATATTTTAATTTTTATTACCTTAAATAATATAATTTTTTATTCACTTAATATTTTTATTAATATATTATTTTTTATGAAATAAAGGGAAAAAGATGAGAGAAAGATGTGTTATAAGACAAAGTGAGCAAGAGAAATAAGAGAAAAGACAAAGAAGAATAGAGAAGACAAAGTAGAATTATAAATACAGACAACATCAATATGTATTACAACCAAGGAAGCAATTCTCTGTTAGTGTGATGGTTGCGAAATCATAAATGGAAAAAAATAACACCATTAGTGTCAAAACTTACATAATTCAAAATTCATCTTATCTATAAATTAATATTTTACAACATTAATGATATTTTAACATTGTATAATTTAATACATTCAAATTGAATACATTTATTGAAGAAGCAGATCGCGATAATTGCTTCATTTTGCCTTCGAAAGCCAAGGATGACGTTTGATTATGACGCTAAGGATGACGTTCATTACTCTCTTTTTTTTTTAATAATAATAATAAATTTGTCGAAACCGAAAACAACTATTTTTACTTTGTTTCTTTTGCTAATGACATATCCCTATAGTTTTCAACAATACACAATTAATCCGCCTTTGTGTAATGAACTTTGAGACTTTTGTTTCCCAATTATTTTTTATTTTTTTATATAATGGTTAGACTGAGGTTCGAACCTATTATTTCAGGTAAATTATGTAAATCACTTACTATTAAATCAATTTTAGTGACTTTCCCAACTATTTTTTCAATTGTGTACAAGGAAATATTACAAATATTTTTTATGGAGTTCGTTATATTTATTGGAGAATCGATTTATCGGTCTCGAATATCTGATTCGAACCTGATAAAATCATATGAGCGATATAATTTTCTTTACCAAATTTCTACACAGCTACGTTCATAGAGACTCAAACTCAAGAGTTTTGGTAAAATTGAGACAACCCCTTACAATTGATTCACGTGTTAGTGGTTAAATAGATTTTCTTAGTTAAATTATAAAATTATTTTGTGAATAATATACATAAAAAACTATAAAATGTTTAATGTTCTTAGAAAAATCAATGAATATGTCAAAATAAATAAAATAGTATTTTTCGTTAAATTATGTATATAGTATTAAAATATTGTTACAAACAAATAAAATAAAATGAAGTTAAGGTTATATTAAATTTTAAATATGTGCCTCTTTATTATACTTTATAAGATTATAAAAATATTTATATTAATTTACATTAGATTTAAAAATATCCTATCAAAATTTTTGTAATATTTCCATTAAAGGAATTTTTAAAATGAAATTAGTAATTAAAACTTGTAATAAATATTTATCTTATAAATAAAGGGTTCGCTTTTTCTGCAGAATCTGCAGTATGCCCAATACGACGTCGTTTTGGGGCGGAAATCATGGTGTTTTTGTAATTTGAATTTATTTTAGGGTTATAATAGTCTTTATACTTATAATTTTTTAAGATTTGGATACCAAAACGACGTCGTTTTGGGAATAAATGCAGATAACTTATCTGCATTAACTGCAGAAATATTTTTCCCATAAATAAAATACTTGTAATCATAAGTATTAAATTTAAATAATTCATTAGGTCGTACCAAATAATACAAAAAGTTATTCGCGAAACAATACACAAGAAAAGGGAAGGCACTTTATTTTGATTTTCAACTACACAATGAATTTGTTTCTATTATGTAAAATTATTTTTTCCTATTAGAATTCATCAGCCTTGTCATTCGTATAAACTTTTGTTAGAAAGTATTTTGTACCATATTACACAAATAATTAGTATAATCCACTATCCTTCTCTTGCCTTTTTTTTTTTTTTTGAAAGTATCCTTCTCTTACTTTAATTATATAACATCAAACTTCTTTGTCATCGGTTAGTATAAATGTAATTCGCATTTATAATTAACGGTAAACCTTTTTTTGGAAATAATTAACGGTAAACCTAAACATAACACAAAATTGACCATTTCAACTAAAGTATTAAAAGTATTGAAGGCATTCGTTGCAAAAGGCATTTAACAATTATTTTTGAATACAATCAATTCAAAAATTAATATAACTGGAGAAATATATACTTTAAAAATTTAAGTGATAATCTTTATTTTAAAAATTAATATAATTCATATTCATATAATATCTTTTAAGAATTAATTTAAGTATATACTAAAAATAATCACAATCTATAGCTATCAAATTAATTTTAGATCAAACCATAAGGTATTGAGTCTAATCACACACGATTGAGTATACCTAAATTGATGTATTTTTGTGCTTGAATTTGCTATTTATGAGATCGCTGACTTTTGTGTGGAATGGTTTTTTGGGATGAAGTCAAGATGCCGCAAATTATTGATTTGATAGGAACACGATGGTTGTTTGCCTACAAGGCACTCTCACACTCAAGTCAGTATATGAGTGTACTCGAAAAAATGAATATATATAGGTATTTTCCTCTCTATTAATAGTATGTGGCATTATCTCCTTGTGGACTCAGTTGCCTGCTTTTGTGTGGCGGCTTAATTGATATGTTTTCTAATTGACTCGTTTAGATTACCTTCATAGCCTACCGCTCTATGAAGGATGCATTTTGGCGAATTATATTGTTGAGGCTTAGCCGAAACCTTGTCTATTTTAATTATTCCTTCATTGGTTGAGTGAGATGGTGATTAGTTATGGGTAGCTGGATAATCTGTGTAACATCCTTCAATTGTTAACCGAGGAATGTTACCTCGGTATTTTAAACTCTAGTTACATATGTATATTATACAGAAGACTTGGAATGTAAGTTTTACTCAAATTGACTTTATTCCGTAACATCAAAGTACAAACAACTAAAGCAACATAGCGTATTGTAAGAATCCAAACCATTAAATTGGGATTTTAGAAATCAATGATAATTAAACGAGGATTATTAGATGAAATATTTAATTGTTTGATATTAAATCACCGTTTTGAAAAAATTCTGAACATTGTCCTTTTGGGGTCAAACTGTGTAGGCAAATTACCCGGAAACTTAAAATAAATTGCGATTTTTGGAAATTATAATAATTAAAAAGGTTAATTAGAAGGAAACTCGAATTATTTAAATTAAATCACTTTCTGTGAAAAGTGTGGACACTATGTACTTCACGGTGAAAATTGTCGTAGGCAAAAGTAACCGGAAACTAGAAAAGATTAATTAGTGATTATTATTTCATAAATTTTATAAAGTTACAATGACTATAAGAATGCTTATGTTAAGAGTGATGGAGAATTAAGTGAGTGAGTTTGAAGTGTAATTACCCACTAGATTTAGTTGACTCACTTAGGGGGCGTTTGGTAGAGAAAATATTTTTTTTACTGGGAAAATAGTAGGAAAGTGAGTTTGATGGAAAAGTTTAAAAAAAGATGTTTGGTTCACCGAAATATTACCGAAGAAATTTATGTAAATTTACAAAATCTATATTTAGTTGAATGTAAAATAGTGATGGAAAAATTGGTTGAATTGACCAAAACACCCCATTATCAATATTTTTTAAACAAATCACTACCTAAAATTGAGAGTCCCACATCAATAACTTGATTTCCTTAAATATCACTTCCCCACCTATCCTAAAATACCACACCCAAAGTGGTATTTGTGAAATAGATAGTTTGAGCAAAAAAAGAACACAAATCTAATTGCCTAGGCTTCCTATTTAGCTAGTCTTTTTTTTTCCAAAACTTGAATCAAACATGGTCTTTTTCAATACCCACCCACATTTCCCCATCAAACTCAAATGAAAACCTATACCAAACAACCCACCCTTTCCCCTCTATTTCGTTTCTTCATTTTGTAAACCCTAAGGCAGCACCTTCCTCTCGTCTCCTAGGGTTTCATTTTCCTCTCATGGAGCAAGCAAAGTCATCACCTTTCTCTATCTTTTTCACCAAACTTAACCTTGAAACTAAAGCCTAAACACCATCATTCACCTAAAAACTTCTTGTATGGAAAAAGAATAAAACTTTGAAGAATCAAATTCGTGCACCTTGTGAACCAGTTGAGAAGAAGGGTGAAGAAGCTTAAAAAGTCCCTCTTTTTGGTGGTTTGAAGCTTGGATGGCATATACCCACTTGGGTTGAAGCTTCTTGGTAAGAAAGAACTTTCTTTAATTTAGGTTAAAGATTGAGTCTTGATTTTATTACTTCAAATGCATGCTTTGTAACTTAATTTTTTTATACATAACTATTGCATCCAAGGAAAACATGACTGTTGAAGTGAAAGAGTTAGAGGCATATGACAATCTGAGGAAGATAAGGAAGCAAAAATATAGAAAATGTTAAAGATTTTTTTTTATATATATATACAAGTAGAAATTGAACATACAACTTATTACAACTTATCCAAATCTCTTATTACTAAACCAAACCTAATTGCTTTAGAATATATGTTCAAGATGGCCAAGTTGGTAATGATATTTACTTTTATGCACTATTGGGTTGAATAAAACAAAAATAATTAAGTTGTTGCTATCAAGAGGAAAAACAACCCATGCCAGATTTAATAGCCATTGAAAATTTGAAAGAATTGACAGATATAGTAGTGACAACTGACAAGTATATATGTATTATTACAAATCTAAATCTTAAACTTAATCAAATTTATGGGTTTTATAATTCTCATTTAACATGAGAATTCAAATTTTCCTACACACCCTTCGATTTCCGTGCTGACATGGGTCCTACATATAATTTTTTCTAACACATGGGTCCCACATGTTTTTTATCTCTACAACATGAGAATTGAATTCTCATTTAACATGAGAAAATCAAACCCCCAAATTTATTTAGGGTTATATCGCAAAGATTTATTTACTTTTTCAACTCTTTAATTCCAAGTTGATTCTGAAAATGACCTCTTTTGATCATTTGCTAGAACGCAAGTACTGATTATATATCTTCCACCCATCAATTAGACAATTACCCTCTCTAATACTTATATATCCTTGTACTCAATTTTTTGGCTAGACACTCGTACTCCACTTGTACTCAATCAAATTTTAAGGACGTTGTTGGCTCTATATACTCATGCATGATTTGAAAGGATATAAAATAAAAGGCAAGCTATGCATACAAAATAGACAATACGCATAAAAAGCTGGCTTTGTTCATAATTTTTTTACAAAGCACATACAGACATACATTCCATGAGATTGATTAATTATTTATGCAACTGAGAAAGATCAAAGTGACACACTCTCATAGAGGAGGAAACTGTGAAAAACGAAAATCCAGTATCTAAATTTATCGGATTTGTATCCTTTCATTTTTCATAAAAACATGAAAGTGTTATAGTTGTAAGAGAGAAAAATAAGTACTTTTGTGCATGAAGGACGAACCCTTGCACGGGTAACTTTAGTCCCTACACACACAAACTGTGTTTTTTTTTTCTCTCTCTCAAAACACAATACAATCATGTTATTAAGAAAAATGAGATGATCAAAATCCTAATCTAAACAATTAATCTTAGGAATCTAATCAAAGCAGGAAAGCAACTGACTCTCATCAAAGTGGAAGTCAGTGCCAAAATGAACAGACTCCACCTGGAGATCTATGTCCAAATGTTGAGAAACTGTACATGAATCTGTATTAACAGATTCCACTTTTAAAGGCATAATGACAGGCTTGTAGGCTTCAAAATCCTTCAAATCCGACAACAGGCTACGATCCAACATGTGATCTGTAACATCACTCGAATTGTCTTCTTTGAGATATACTTGTTTTATAGTTAGGCTTGGGGAGCTAATATGGTGATCCTGTTCATTTGGTATCTTTGAGTCAGGATCAGAATTCAGAATAAATGATTCCCCAGTACTAGAATATGTTACCAAATGTGTAGCATTGGGGGTGGCTTTACATGTGTGAATGCCAATGTACATAATTTGGTACATATCAGGATTCTCTTGTGTCAGCTGCACCTGTTTGGTTGCTTTGCAACCTTGATCAAGCTTGTGACTGCACCTGAAGTAACTCCTGCAAATTATTAATAACAATGTGAGTTACATGACAAATCTTTTAAAGCAAAAATCACAAAATATTACAAAACTCACACTCTCATAGTACCCAGTACACAGTACTGATCAATACTAATAAATTAGAATGTCCTCTTCAAGTGTCCTCATTAAGTTCTAAACAGTTTTCTCAACTTTCAGCAAGTTTCTAAGTTGGTTGCTGCTATATTTCCCCTCTTAACTGCATCTGTTTTTGTTTAATATCTACTTTTGATATGAGACAGAGACTCTTCACTTCTAACCTTATTAAAGTCATTTTTCAAATATGATATTTCTAAGTGCTGATAGAAAAATTAATAACCAGAAAAAGAAAAGGAAAGTTACTTGTAATGCAACTATTATGTATAAAATCATGTATAGGTATACCATCTCAGAATATCTTCCTAATGAATATTAAAATTAGAAGAAAAGATTAATATAAACAATGATTACCTGGGGAATTTGGAATTCTGGATTCCCTTTTGTCCGTACTTCCTCCATGCATAATTATCATTGGTGGTGTGGGAGAGTGTGGTTCTTGTCTGTGCACCCTTCCTGCGCAACAACGATTCAATATGTCCCATGCATGTCATCATTTCATGTACAATACAACATACAATGACATTCTGAATCTGCCAAATATTTCAAAGCAAGCGTGTAACTAAAAATAAAAGCAACCCACAATTGGATCTGAATACTTGAAAATCTCTTAAACAAATTAAATTCAACATATACGATTAACTCCATTAATTCTTTATATATATATCATAAAGTCCAACTTATTCTCAAAGTTTCAAAAAAATTTCATAAAAAAGGGGTCTTTCACAGTTTCACCCATTATTAACAATGCTACTCTAAATATGTCCGTACTTCCGTACATATCCCAATTCGTCAAATCATCCCACTAACCCGAATCGCCGACAAAACAAGGCTTTATTGGGTAAGGAAGTGAATTAAAAAATATGTCACTGAAGTAAAACTGTAGATTCATGATCAGAAAGAGAATCGATAAAAGATAACCTTCTTTGGTAGCAACCTCTCCCACCCTTTCTGGCCGGCGAGGATCTCTTCCTACTCTCACCGGAATCTCCAGACGCTAATGGAGACCCATCCTCGCCGGAATTCAGCAGATTCTGATGAGCTACCTCACCATCACCACCGGGTTCTGAGGAAGAAGTTATGACAGAAAGAGCCTCGGTGAAAGATCTCAGTACACTGGCCACGAGTTCTTTAGAGGAGAGAGACTCATCATCCTCAAATGGCTTTTCAAGCAGAACCTTGAGCTGTGTTGCAGCCTTCTGACCCTGAAGAAGCTTTCTGATTATCACTTTTTTCCACTTGGCTGAAACACTTTCAGGGCAAAGGATATTCATTTTCTCTAACTATCTTCTCTCAGGATCTGTTTGGCTTTTCTTGGAAAAATTATTTTCTCTGTCCCTTTGGTTCAAATTTGCCAAGAAAAAAGTAGCTAGTGGGTGAAAGAGAAGAAAGGAGCTATTGATGTGAGATGTGAAACCATAGATTATTCTACCGGAAAAGTTTGTATCATTTTACAAGTAAATAAAGTTGTATCATCTTAAGACACGTAAAGTTGTCTCATTTTAAATTTTAAGCGAGAGAAAAAGATAAATCATATAAGAGAAAGTGGACAAAATAAATAAATAAAAGTGTGAGTCTCACATCTCTTTATGAGACTGAAATGACACAAATTATATCATTTAAAAGAACAAATATTTTTTGTGTTATTATATAAAAACAAAAGATTTCTACGCATAAAAGAGACACTTAAGAGATAAGCTTTTACTTTGCGTTATTAAATGGGAGATATAATTAGGTTAATGAGTTATTATTAATTTTTATTTTAGAAAAAATATTTGTCTTTTTTAAATAACAGTCATTTTAGTTAAAAAAGCATACCAAAAAAAAAATAACTATCTTTTATTTAATATTTAAATAAAAAAATTTCTTACTTTCTCTCACCATAATTTCTATTGTGTAACTCTTTTGTCACCATAAAATACTGTAATTTTAATTAAAATAATATAATTCTATGTCTTTTAAAAGAATAAACAATAATTGTAATAACTCAAAAAAAAAATAATAATAATAATAATAACATATACCCTTATGTCTATCATTATATTATGTTAGAGATTGTCCCTGGGAGTGAAACCAACTTACACATGGTGAGAGATTGTCATTGGACTCAACAAATTTGGAGAGAGTTAGTCAAGCCTCAGGAGTGGGATATTTTCTGCAATTATGATTTAAATGATTAGGTGAACCTTAATCTGGTAGGAAATGGGTGAACAGAAGGGACACGGGTTGAAATATTCTATTTGGGATCGCTTGCTGGATGATTTAGAATGATAGAAATAATCTTGTTTTCTCCAATTCTGGATTTAATCAAGAAACTCTTATCAGGAATGCCAAGGGGCTCAACTCTAAACTTTAGAGGCTAAAAACCTTCTATGTTTAGCAGGTCTGCAGACTCAACAGAAGGAAGAAAGACTGATAAGTGGAACTTTCCACTGGATGATAGGGTGAAAGTAAATGTGGATGGATCTTGTTCTAATGGCAGCAACTGGGTTAGTTGTGGTGGTGTTGTCAGAGATGCTATTGGAAATTGATTGGTTTTTCTAAAAACCTTGGTCGTGGTAATTCTGTTATGGCTAAAGTTTAGGGTATTTTTCTGGGTTTGGAGGTAACACTCTGTATATATCCAGTAATGTTATCACATCATCGTATTAAGCTGCGCTTAATTAAAAATGCGGAATATCTTTTTCTTTTCAATTATGACGTCATTATCATTACCAACTTGCTTACTTAATCATTTAATAAAACATTGCCTGTATGTAAATTGCAAAAGACCGCTGACTGAAATACCTCATTAATTAAAATAACAGGTATAAGTCTCTAGTCACGGAACTACAACACGTAAATCGGACAACCCTGATAGTTTATACAACTCAACTCAAAAGTACTAACATCAAAGTGGCATGGACAAACCCCATGCTCACCCAAATAAGGCAACAAGCCCAACATAAGTCTCAATAACAACAACATAATAATATAAAGGCAGAAAACATAAACAACATCCAAATCCAGGATCCATACAAGTCAGCATATAATATCATAATCAGCTAAGCTCTGGTCTCCTGCCGCTAGAGGCATCAGCCCCCGAATTACCTGAACCTGAAATAAGCGTCCCCAAACGTGGGGTGAGATCTCTAAACAAGAAATCTCAGTAAGACAAGTGGTCCTCAAGGATCTTCCACCCCAAGCTCATTTACATGTGCAATATAAGTTCCAAAAGCAGTTCATCAATATCATTTCTAAAACAGTGCAATGCAGCAGATAATCATGTCATGTGTGTCAATACTATTCTACTGGCCAGAGAAATGCAGGATTTATATACGTCTATTACCAACAAATAGTGCTAGACGCTACTTGCATCCACCACAGTCTCACCATCTTGTATGACGCTACATACTCAGGCTTACCGTCAAAGTGAAACAACACATGCATATTATAAGTCATTACACATAAAGCTCAACAGCATTTCAAATATCAAAGCATGTAACACATCATGCATATAACCCATTCCCCCATGGGGTATGGTGGAACCACACAATGGCTAAACCGAGGACACGAAAGCTTACCTTGCAAGCTAACTATCCAATGCCAAGAGTCCACACAAGCTCAAGGCCCACAAACAGCACAATCACAATCTGCCCATACCATAATTAATCATCAATAATCATAGCTCAGATTCCATTAAGAGATTAAGTCTTTCTTACTCATTTTAACTCATTACGTGTTGTTTCTGCAAGAAGTATCGAATACTCTACGAGTAGTATTCGAATACTCCAGCTCTCCAGAAAGTATTCGATTACTTTCATTTAAGTATTCGAATACTACCAAGTATCCGAATACTTTACCCACTAGTATCCGAATACCACAGTATCCGAATACCAAACCTTACTGTATTCGAATACTTTCCAGTATTCGAATACTTCTTCAAAGGTATCCGAATACTTTTCTTCCCAGAAAAATATCTCAATACTCCTGCAAGGAGTATTCGACTACCAGTGAACAAGTATTCGAATACCACTCGAAAAGTATTTGAATAATTCTTCACCAGAATGCAGAAATACGAACAATGATCTGCATAATCCCATTTTTAAGTGTCCAAACGCGATTGGGAGTCCAATGACTCCCTAAAAAGATGAACACCAACATGTTATGAACTCAGAAACACCTTCTTTTACTCAAACGGTTAAAGTTTCACTTATTAACCGATTAAACAAGCTTAAAACTCCAAAATGACAAAGAGGTGATCATGGCTCACCTCAAGAGCTCCAAACTCCGAAAATGAAACAGAAAGGAAGCCTTCAACACAACACCAAGGTTCTGACTTCACAAGGCCACGAATTTAAACCAAAAGCTTGGACCTTTCACCATCCAAATGGCACCATGAAGCTCAAAATGCCAAGAAGATAACCTCTCACACCAAAACTCAAAAAACATCCCTTATACCCCACCAACCAGTGACCAAAAACTCAGAGTAAGGTTATCTACTCACCCTCAAAGCCAACTACTCAGTGTTTACAAGGTTCAAGGTGTATTAGCTCTCATAAAAATGGTGCCCTGAAGGATTTTGTGAAGAAAACTCAATGGAACAGTGAAAAGGGAAGGAGGCAGCAGCTACACACACACAACCCACGCATAGAATGGCTGAGTATCAGCCTAGGGTTGTGTGCAAGTGACTATATATAGTTCACTTAACACTAACCACACAGTATTAGCATTAATAGCTACGCTTAGCATTTTAATCCCAAATTTAGGATTCTGAACCTACTCAATTTTACAAGATTTATCATATTTTTATATTAATTTTCGCAGCACCTTTCCGGTACGCGCTTTTCCATAGCCAGTATCAGTTCTGGCACCAGTTCTCATTATTTTAACTTGAAACTAGAAATCACAGTCCTACGTATTATTCTAGGAATATTCATGCACTTATTACAATTTTTCGGGATACTTCATCGGTACGCATTTATACCGAGCAGCAGAACCGGTATCTGCACTTTTCGTCAGAAAAGCGACTTTCAACATTATTACTCACTTTCTATAATTATACAAGCCTTATCATAATTATTAGGGTCAATTATGGAATTATCTCATTAATCTCATAAATATCTAATTAATTACCTTAATTAGCGGTGCAGGTTCTTACACCTAAGATCACGGGTACTGACAAATTGTGTAAAAAATTTATACATAATTGTCGTTAACGGGATTTGAACACAGTATACATTAGAGGATTTAAATGACAACGACCACTATGCCATTAAATTCTTTGTGATAGTCTATTATTAATAATAATATATATTACAAACTTTTGTATACATTTAAATCAAGCTTTTCAGCTAATAATTAAATGATGGTTACATAAGTGCTATACTTACCCTAATATATTGGCTGTCAATAGGAACGATGAAAACTTAAATCATGGAACATTGACCAATGTGCCATGTTTTTGGCATTTATATATCAAACTACCACACGAACAGTGAAATTTACCAGACTGCCACGCGTTGATGTTCGTTGCGATTGGTAGCGAACTTGGTAGCCAATGAGTTCTTGACATGTGGCACACTTTCAAAAGGAAAGCTGACTGCCACGTGTCCAAGTTCGCTATGACAGGTAGCGAACTTCGTAGCCAATGATGTCATGACATGTGGCAAATTTTCGCAAGAAAAGCTGACTAGACTAAGTTCGCTACCAAAGATAAAGAACTTCATGTGCTATGTGGAACAATCTCATTGCCCGATCAAAATTAATGTACCAATCACAATTAAGAAAAGAAAACGAAGGAAAAGAGCTATTTAATTAATATACCAATCATAATCAATGTAACAATCACCAATCATAATTAATGTACCAATCACAAATCGGTATTAATTTTGAGCATAATTAATTTTGATCACAATTAATGTACCAATCACAATTAATTTTCATTGGTGCATTAATTGTAATTGGTGATTGGTATATTAATTGTGATTAGTGATTGATACATTGATTGTTTGAATATCACTGTTACAAATTCAAACAATTTTTGTGAGAGTTAAAATATGCCAAATGAGGTGTCATTGCGTAGATTTTGAAAAGTCATGTGAAATAGAATAAAATAATCACCTGATTTGGATATCCGAATCAAAAGTTATGGTCTTCCGAAGTGATTGGTGAGTGGTACAATCAAAAATTAACATCCAATTGGTACACAAATTGTGATGGGTGATTAGTACGTTAATGAATAAATAATTTAATGAATAAAAGATTTTATCTAGTAAATAAAAAACAATAGGAAAAAAGTACTATATGTGTTAATGTTTAATTAAAATATTTAAATAATTGGTATTTCATATATAAATATAAAGGAAAAAGTGTTTGTCATCTTAAATGACATAAAGTTATGTCATTTT